CAATTGCAAGTAGCTCATGGGTAAGCCCTGTACAGTGTGTCCCTAAAAAGGGAGGTGTCACTATCATCTCAAATGAGAAAGATGAGCTCATTCCTACAAGAGTCGTGTCTGGTTGGAGAATTTGTATGGACTACCGTAGACTGAATAAGGCAACTCAAAAGGATCATTTTCCTTTGCCTTTCATAGATCAGATGTTAGACAGACTAGCTGGAAAGGAGTATTATTGTTTTCTAGATGGATACTCAGGTTACAATCAGATTGCAATAGCCCCGGAAGACCAAGAAAAGACTACTTTTACATGTCTTTATGGTACCTTTGCTTTTAGAAGAATTCCATTTGGTTTATGTAATGCTCCCGCCACTTTTCAAAGATGTATGATGTCCATCTTTTCGGACATGCTTGAAACTTCCATGGAAATTTTTATGGATGATTTTTCTGTATATGGTACATCATATGATCAATGTTTGAAAAATCTTGAAAAAAGTCTTGAAAGGTGTGAAGCAACTGATTTAGTTTTAAATTGGGAAAAATGTCACTTTATGGTGACAGAAGGTATTGTTCTTGGTCATCTAATTTCAAAAAGGGGAGTTGAGGTTGATAAGGCAAAACTTGAAGTGATTGAAAAATTGCCTGAACCAACAACTGTAAAGGGTATATGAAGTTTTCTGGGACACGCTGGTTTTTACAGAAGATTTATCAAAGATTTTTCAAAAATTGCAAAACCTTTGTGTTCWTTAYTTCAACATGACCAAAAGTTTGATTTTAGTAAGGAATGTAGAWATGCATTTCACACTTTAAAAAAGGCTTTGGTTACTGCACCCGTGATTGCTACTCCAGATTGGAGTAAACCCTTTGAAATTATGTGCGATGCAAGTGATTGGGCTGTGGGAGCCGTTTTAGGACAGCGAAAAGAAAAGATTTTCCATTCCATCTATTATGCGAGAAAAACTTTGAACGAAGCTCAATTGAACTATACAACAACAGAAAAAGAATTATTAGCTGTGGTGTTTGCTTTTGAAAGAGTTAGATCATATTTGATGGGAACAAAAATCATTGTACATACTGATCATGCTGCCATCAAATATTTGATTTCAAAAAAAGATGCAAAACCCAGACTGATAAGATGGATTTTGTTGTTGCAAGAGTTTGATCTTGAAATAAAAGATAGAAAGGGAGTGGAAAATCAAGTAGCAGATCAGCTGTCCAGATTAGAAAAGCAACCTACTGACTTGAAGGACATCATAGAGACTTTCCYGGATGAGAAAATCTTGATGCTAAAGCCATTGGAATCACCATGGTTTGCTGATATAGCCAATTATTTGGCTTGCGGCATTAAACCTTCTGAATATACTTGGCCTAAGCTCAAGAAATTTTTGCATGATGTAAAATTTTACCTGTGGGATGACCCTCTTTTATTTAAAATTGGTGCAGATCAAGTCCTGAGAAGATGCATTCCGGAAACTGAGGTAACAAAAGTCTTGGAAGATTGTCACAAGGCACCTTATGGCGGCCATTTTGGCGGACAGAGGACAACAGCCAAGGTATTACAGTCTGGTTTCTTTTGGCCAACACTTTTTCAAGATGCTCATAATTTTTCCAAAAGATGTGACGAATGCCAGAGAAGTGGCTCAATTTCCCAAAGAAATGAAATGCCTTTAAATGGAATTTTGGAGGTTGAATTATTTGATGTTTGGGGAATTGATTTCATGGGACCATTTCCTCCATTTAATAATTGCCAATACATTTTAGTCGCCGTTGACTACGTGTCAAAATGGGTGGAAGCAATAGCATGTGCTTCAAATGATGCAAAAACAGTGGTTAAGTTCCTCCACAAACAAATATTCTCAAGGTTTGGTACCCCAAGAGCACTAATCAGTGACGAGGGTACTCATTTTGTGAATCATTTGTTGCACGGAGTTCTTGAAAAGTATAACATTAACCACAAAGTTGCTACCGCATATCACCCACAGACTAATGGATTGGCAGAACTTTCAAACCGTGAAATAAAGGGAATCTTGGAAAAAGTGGTTAAACCAAACAGAAAAGACTGGGCTTTTAAACTGGATKATGCRTTATGGGCATATAGAACTGCATTTAAAACTCCTATTGGTATGTCTCCATACAAGCTCATTTTTGGAAAAGCATGTCATCTTCCGGTGGAACTTGAACATAAAGCCTACTGGGCAATCAAGGAATTAAATATGTGCCTAGATGATGCAGGGAATAAAAGAAAAATGCAGTTATGTGAAATGGAAGAGCATAGGAACATGTCCTATGAAAATGCCAAGTTGTACAAGGAAAAGACGAAATAGTGGCATGATAGAAGAATTCAACAGCGAGAGTTAAAAGCAGGACAGAAAGTCTTACTGTTCAATTCTAGATTAAAATTGTTTCCAGGTAAATTAAAAACTAGGTGGTCAGGACCATTTCTAATCCACAAAGTTTACCCATATGGAGCAGTCGATCTAGTGAACCCTGAGGATAACAGTCTATTCAAGGTAAATGGCCAGAGAATAAAAATTTATCTGGATGAGCCTAAAAACCAAGAATACTCCGTGTGAGTTTTTCTGCATAAAATAAGGTATATATATAT